TCACTTGCAGTTGCAAAAAAAAAAAAGTGGATTTAAAAAAAAAGGCTTCTTATGAATGACCGTGCATGACGACAGTGCTGTAAATACTGAGTAAAACGGATGTGCTTTTAAGACGGTTTAAAGCAAGTGTAGTTGGTAGGGGGGGGCGCCTAATACTACTGCTACCACTGATTAATACTACTACTACTACTACTACTACTGCTCGCGCACAGCCGCTTGCTTCTGCGGCCCTAAGCCTCCCTGCGCAAGCCTCCTCTCATGGAGAGCGCCCTGTTGGGCGGTGCCGCGCACCGCGTGTTTACGTTGCATTGGGTTCCCTGCACTGGCGGCACGGAATGGACAGCCGAAGCGGGTGTGGGAAACTGCGCTGTTGTCATGAACATGTTTGTTTTGTCGGTCTTTGCCCTGCTTGCCTGGTAGTCAGCTGTCGTTTGGGTTCAATCACTTTGCATTTTTCACATATTTGATATCGTCTAACATAATCAGCCGGAATCAGAAGCGAACATTGATGCGTCAGACATCCTCATTTCAGCAAATGTTGAGTGAGAATTTAGCCGACGGCGGGATAGAGGCACTGGCAGGGATCTGGCCTGAAGAAACCATATATCTGTAGCTTCGGATTCTATGCAACCGTCAGCTTGGCAGGTGGTGTCAACCAAGCCCGCATGTCCAAGCTGGTCCCTTCCGAGGCGGGTGTGTGCGAAAACATGTTTGCGAAAAGTAGGTATGCAGTTTATGTGTGTGACGATGCAGCCGAGGGCACAAAAAACGGCTTGCATTGAGGTTTGGTGGTATACGTTGCATTAACACGTACCAGGTTGCGTTAACACGTACACAGACAAAACCCGACTGTGTCCACCGCGCATGCAATGACAGGGCATCCCGTGCAACTGCCAAGAAGTTGCATTTGTCGAAAAGGCACCAGCAGGACGACGTGGGAAACGATTCAGAGCAAATGACCATTGCAAAATTCGTGAACTTCCCTCAACCATTGCATTTAGCAGGATTTGCTGGGCACGCAGTCACCGGGGCCTGCGACGTACACGATGCTGATCTGCAATTCAAGACGTTTGCTCGCGCTGCATTCTGTTGCAATCCTGTCCGATGTCAGTTTATTTCTGGCATCTCGTTGCACTCTGAACGCGGTTGTAGGTAGCACTGCAGAGCAACATAGAGCAACTCAGGCCACAGCGTCAGCGCAAAAGTCCGAGCTGCAGCTTCGGGACTTTTGACCCGCCAAGTCCGGTCGGTGAGCTTCACAAGTGGCACACAGGGCACATGCTGGCACATGCAGGAGGAGCAGTCGACCAAGTTCAGCCCCAGTGCTTGAGCCCTGGCGTTCTCGGCGCATTTGTGTGTGTCGTTGTGTTTGGTTGTGAGGTGTGCTATTCCCCTGACAAGGCGTCGAGCTTCGACGAGCGATCTACTGGCTAACATGTCCGCTTCAGAAAAGGCAGAACCTCGAACACAGGGTGGTATGGAACATCTTGCACTTGATATTGTATCAAGCAGTGTGGTCAACATAGCGTGGTTTTCCGGCAAGATGGTTTCATGTGTTATATGACAATTTGCATGCCTCCCAACATTCGTGCAGGCAGACCTGAAGCCACGTCCCGGAAGTGCGGTGATTGGGCGAGCGTCCAGGACCCTTATGAACCTCGAGCGGCCATTGCATTAAGACATGTTTGACATGTTCAGGCCTCACTCTGGACACCCGTTATATCGCATGATTGTTTCGGCTGGCAAGCACCGCCCTGCAATCTTATAGCTGGCAAACAGTTCGAACAAAACCTTCAAGAACCACCACCACATATGAGTCTTTCAAAAGCGGTTTCTCACATGAGCACGGGATAACGTTTTTGTGTCGTAAACCTTATGTTTCGGTCAAAACATAATGAGATTCAGACTCCGACACAATGAGCTTTTTTTTACTGCATGAACGATGCCGTTAACTCCGGCATACATGCTGTGCCTTTGATCCCATCCCAGCTTCGATGTTTGCAGGAATGTCGTGCCTGTGCAGCCAGATGTGTTCCCGGCTTAGGGGGTGTACAGGTTTTAGATGGTTTTAGTTTCGGGGCTTTCACCGCGGGCAAAGAGCAAAGATTTTCTTGTACTAAGGCACACATTCCTTTTTACCGATTCTCCTGGCCCGATGCGTGTGGCTCCAAATGATGCTGGCAAGAGCACTTTTCGACCTCTGGCTGTCATCGCGTGACCTAAACCCTAAACCCTAAACCGAGGCTACAACCCCGGCCGGGATATCGTTGAGCCCAGTGCTCCAGCATATTCCATCAGGCCATGGCAGGATTGGTCTTTCGTTGAATTTCGTTCAGGTTCACGTGCACTTTTGGGCGACTCAGGTTTTGGCTTTTGCAGGGTTTTCAAGTTCCTTCCGTGTGTTTCAGATCGAGTATTTACGCCACCGATGCACGCGACATCATAGTGGCGGCTGCTTCAGGCCGCGTGGTTTTGAACGAGCCGCGACGACCAGTAAAGTTGGCGGCTACCCCAGTGGCTACATGCACTATCATTCGCAGTTGCCTTCAGGCTGACCGACGCATGGCAAGGGCATCGCATGTTGTATTGTAACTTGCAAACAGTTGTCGGAAAATAGTCTTTGTTTGTACTTACAACCCTTCTTCTAAAATCTTTCAGGCCCGAATATTCAGTGCAGACGCATGCTTGCCATGAGGTCCAGGACTCTATCCAGTCCAGACTCGGGAGCACATGCGCTGCGCTTCGACGTTGCGTTGTAGCACCGTGGCTTCAGAGGATTCAGGAGCTAGGGCATATTAGGGTTTGGGCGTATAGGAAAGCAAGAGGCCTGCAGGAGGCCTGGATGCAAAAAAGGGTTTAGGGTTCCAGGCGCAAAAAAGGTTTTGAATTATGTTGGTGGCCGGTTCGTTTTTTTATTTGTGGTAGTGATGAATGTTGCCAACTAAGAAAAAATCATTCTGTTATCCCATCAACAATCCGCAATCTACTTATCGCGGCGCGGCAGCTGCAAACTGCAACCTGAGGTCCTCAGTGGAGCATCGCGCGGCAGGAACGCGTTACGCTCAGTCGCCGGACACGAACTGAGCCAACTGAGCCTTTCAAAATTGAACAAATTGATGTTAGCCCAGGTTCGACCGTATCTGCATGCATAATCTTGCCAAGTCTAGAGGAGCAAGAATGTCTTGTCGTGCATCAGGTTGGCGAAGAACAAATCTCAGACGCGGCGCTCGCAGTTGTAGCAGTGACAGAGCCAGCTCCACCAGGCCGGCAGCTCCGTTCAACAGGAAATTCCAAGCAAGATGTAGCTCTGATATTTCGGAGTTTGGGCATCGCATTATTTATGGCAACTTGAGCCTGGTTGCCGCTTCAACGGGGCAGGTGGAGATATGTGCCGGACACAAGTGTCATCAAGAAGTATACTCAGCAAACATCATGCAAGCAACGGACGGTGTGACTGCTGTCGTTGCCAGTGCTTTTGCACTGACGGCTCGTGGCATTGCGATAATGGTCCAAACGCAACGAAACGCGACTGCGCTCTCCCAGGTGCTTGCTTCGTGGCAAGGCAGCAGCCATGGCACTCCAGAAGACTTGTGATTCCGGGTTTGGGAGGTCCGCTGGAAAGGAGGCGGCATCGTCAAACTCAGTATATGCGCACGGGATGCCGGATCTTTCCTGCAATCGTGTCACGGTGTTACAACATGTCACAAGCGTGATGTTCAACAGCTTGGGCAGGTTACGCTTGCAGCTGTGCCTCACACATGAGTTCTTAGTTCCTTACAGCCAGTCAGCCGGTCAGCCTTTGCTGCACAATCGTCTTAAGGCTTCACAAGAAGTTCGCGTGCCCTGAACATCGGTGTTGTTATGTTGCTTGTGGAATCCTCCTGTTCACATGACCACGCCCGAACCTTGCTCCAAAAGACTCTTCCGTGACCTTCCTTCCGCGCCATGTGCGGAAGGCCGGACCTGGTTGCACCTTCGGTCGGGCCGGGCGTGACGAGCAGAGGAGGTTTCTGGGATCAAACAGTATCCATCCAACCGGAAGACAGGTGCACAAAAAACGGCCGCTGTGTTCATGTGATCATATCGCAACTGAACTCATGCTGCAAGGCTCTCGATGAGGGTGCCTTTTTTATACAGAGTTGACAAGCATCCTGCTTGTGTAAACGGTTGTTCTTTGGTGAGGTTCCTTGTCACAACTCAGAGGCTGTGCTGACTGAAACCCTAAACCCTAAACCGGAAACCCCTAAACCCTATAGTAGGAGGCAAAAAAAACCCTAAACCCTAAACCCCTAAACCCTAAACCTGAGGTTGGGTGTGTTCCAATGTGCGGCCGAGAAGCTGCACACCCAGCGCGAGGGACGAGCAGCCATGTGGGAGTTTCAGAAAATAGGAGCCTTGAGTAGGGTTTAGGGTTTATAGGGTTTAGGGTTCAGAGTCTGGGTTCAAAAAGGGTGGAGCCTTAAGTAGAAATCGTTGAAGGCCCTGACTTTTCGTAGGTCGTAGGTTCAGTAAGCGCTATCATGAGAAGGTCTGGGTTAAAAGGAGATGTTTCAACCATCCATTCCCTGTCACGTCTCTTGAGCAACATGGGGACTTGCGCTGAATGGCCAAACTTTTTTGTCGACTTCAGCCATTGACACACACAAACGACCCCACAAACGCACCATCATCTGCTTTTCCTTCAGAGGCAATCACACCAGCTCCGATGCGCCGTCCTCAAATTCTGCAGGCAACACTCAGCGTTTCCGTCAAGTCCGCTGTTCAAGCATGTTCAACTCTTGCAGCTGTGGGCTGGACCAACCTGCAGGCAAGAGTGTTGAGGCTTTGATGTCCTATGTTTCCCCGAAACCCTACACCCTCTACTCTTTAACCCTGAACCCTTTACCTGTCGAAGTTGAACTTCAACCCCTGACCCCCAGCACCGAACCCTAAACCCTAAACCATCACGGTTTAGGGTTAAGGGTCCACAACGACGCTCCCGATTCTTGTTGCAGCTCTCCAGCGTAGCAGGGCATGGCAGCCTCGAATGCCCTAAGCGTCGAAGCCCAAAGTGCACCACACAACCATTCCTCTCTATCTCTCTGGGCTTCAAATGCGAAGGTTTCCTATAATGCGAACATACGAAGAGGCTCACCTTTGAACGTCTCTTAAGCTATACTCAGCCACCGGGACTTGCAAGATCGAAAGATGGTTGCTCAAGGAGCCGAAACAGAAACACGAAGCCCGCAAGCCTATGATTGAATCAGGCGTCTACATGAAAGCTCAAGGCTTTTAGCCTGGACCGACACCCTACAGGTTCTGTTGGATGCTGGAAATGCCCCGACCTCGCCATCATCCCAACACCGCCAAGCCCATCCAAGCCCTAGCGATGTATTCCGCAAGCCACTTAAACCCTAAACACTAAACCCTACCCATAGGCCCCATAGTAGTTCCCTGTTGGGATTACCTTACCTTGTAGGATTCTACATATGAACCCCCAAATGGAACTACTATGGGGCCTATATGGGTAAACCCTACCAGGCTCTAGATCGAAAACTCTGCCCCACAGACCAGGTCCGGACCTACCTCCCTACTTGGACGTTACGCTGAGACCATTTCACGAGGAGGCCCCGGCGAGTGTAAACCCTAAAATCTGCAGCTGCCACCCTAGCGGGGGTCTAGGACGCTTTTTTCAGGCATCACCCAGAGACTCAAATACCCCTTAATTAAGGAATATACTTGAAATCATATTAGGGATCCTATTATAATTTAAGGTATATTCCTTAATTAAGGGGTATTGGAGTCTCTGGGCAGTCAGCCCTGGGTGTTTGGCAGGCATGTCGTTCGGGCCATAGCTGTTGGACTTTTGGGTCTTTTGCCTGTTGGACTTGGGAGTTGACCTTGGGATTCAGCATTCAAGGCATCCTGTAGAAGGGCTGTAGAGTTCTGTGTCTGGTAGTGTGGGAGCTTAGTGCCTTCAGCAAGAGTTTACCTATGAATCTCGTCGTGAGCCCTGCCGTTCCCTTGACATGCGAACAAAGACTTGGCAGCTACACTATGCCAGCCTTGGTCACCAGGGCGGGAAAAAGACAGCAAGTCTCAAATCCCGAGCCGCAAAAGCCTAAGCACTCGACCTTCATCTCGAGTTAACTAAAAGTCCGAGAACCCCTTCATCCTACCCCAGGGCAAATCCCAAGCTCTACACCCAAAGCTACCCATCCAAAGACTCCAAAGCCCTTATCAGGTCACAAAGATGCCAGGCGGACACCACTAGGATCCACCAAGTGGCTCCTGTGCAGCCCGCTGCTGCTTCATTGTACATACTCCACTCGCCAGATACCGCCAGTTTCTGATTTTGAAGGGTGCCTTGCGCAAAATCGCATAGGCATGTCTGCTCATTTTCAATGCTTGAGAGCACAGCTTCAGCAACGGAATGTTTCCCCGTAGCTCAGCTGATCTGTGCTTTTGCTACAGAACCGTTGTGCCCAAAGTGTGGCGATCCGGAAAAAGCGAAGTCGATCGTAAACCAACCCTAAACCCTAAACCCTAAAACCTGCATTGGGGCAACACCATGATCGGGCCGGAACGGAAGCCAGGTCCACGCAGCTTCGTTGCTGGATGTAGGCGTCTTATCGTGGACCTAAGTGGGTTTAGGGTTTTAGGGTTAGGGCAAAGCGAGGAAACACGTCTTTCCCGGTAGAGTCGCTGCAGACCGGATGCAAAAGGGTTAGGGGTTTAGGGTTTTAGGGTTTAGGGTTTAGGGTTGTAGGGTTAGGGGTTTAGGGTTCTAGGGTTTAGGGTTTAGGGTTTTAGGGTTGGGGGTTTAGGGTTCCGACTCTTCTTCCAGCTCAAGCTGAAGGAAAAGCAAGGTCTGAGTTGGTTGCATGCGAACGCACCCGACATACACACGCAAAAGCGGTGAACCTTTTCTACGGCCTACGAAAACCAGCGCCAGACTGGAAATCTGAACCTCCCGACGTCCACAATTCATCGATGCCAAGGTTGAAGCGACCAGCCAGACTGGTTCTGTAGAGACATTGCCCTTGTCTACCCAAGGTGTGCGGTCCTAAAGATTATGCTCTAGGTGCTGTCATCTCGGTTTGTGTGGCATTGTATGAATATGAGCAACTTGCATTGACGTACTAAACCCTAACCCTCCAGGTACCTACTATAGAGGGTACTAGAGCCCCCAGGGCCCTATATAGTAGGTACCCAGAGACTCCAAAACCTCTTAATTAAGGAATATACCTTCAACTATAGTAGGATCCCTAATATGATTTAAGGTATATTCCTTAATTAATCGGTTTTCGAGTCTCTGGGTACTTGGAGGGTTTAGGAAATCCTTAAACAGCCCTGAAAGCCTGACCCTGGTGTCCTCGAGCCCTAGACCTTCCACCCTTTCTCAAAACAGATCCTAGACCTGACGGTTTAGGGTTTTTGGGCTTAGGGCTTAGGGCTCTTGGGGTTTAGGGTTTAGGGTTTGAGTATTAGGGTTTAGGGCTTAGAGCTTATAGGGTTTAGGGTTTAGGGCTTCGTTAAAAAAGCAAAAGCTTTGGAGGAATCCTTGAACTCTGGCGCTTCATGGGCTCCCAGCAGTAGCTTTACCCCGGCCCTGCCTCTGCCCTGAGAAACACCGGGGGCCTCGCTGAAAGATGCCTGCCAAGAGCTCAGAGTTGATGGCCCTAAACCCTAAACAGGGATTTTGGGGCGGGTTAATGTAGGAACCTGATTAAGAAACCCTGGCCCTATAACCCCAATATATCAGGGTTCATACTAAGAACCCTAATAAAGGCTCCGGGTTTCTTAATCAGGTTCCTATGTTAGGATTTAGGGGCCTGAGGATGGTTCAGGGGTGCGGGGCCGTTCAGGGTTTAGGATGTCTTGGAGTAATAGAGTTCAGGATGGTTTAGGGTTGAGAGTCTGGGGTTCAGGATAGGTTTTGAGGGCTCCAGGATTGTAGGACCCTAAACCCTAAACCCCTAAACCCCTAAACCCTAAACCCTAAACCCGAAATGAGGGGTTAGGGCTTTGCGGCTCTGGGGCTTTTGGTTTTCTTATGGCTATGGGTTTTGGGCACTCGCAACTAGGACAGGCCTGGCTCGGGGTTTCAACTCTCGGGCTCTAGGGATTTCGGATTTTAGGGTTAGGGCTTCATAACTTACTAGCTTTAGGGGTTTATTCTGGTTTAGGTAATCGGGTTTTCGGGTTGAAGGCTCGGGGAGTTGAGGGTGCGAGAAGTATGTACACTGATACTGCCACTTAAAGGCTTGACGGGGTAGTCCTTTGGTATTTTTCTAGGAGCTTCACAACCCTAGTCTAAATATCCAGGCCCCTGTGAACCCTGAGCCCTAAACCCTAAACCCTAAACCCCTC